GCTCGGCCGCTGAGCAAGGAACTAGCACAAGTTCAACGGCAGAACACGCCCAGCAGAGAGGCTCGGCGGCAGAGCAAGGGTATAGCACAAGTTCAACGGCAGAACAAGCCCAGCAAAGAGGCTCGGCCGCAGAGCAAGAGCCACTGACCGGGCAAGAGCCAAACAGAGACTATGAAGCCGAATCATTGAGGGGGTCAGTCGCAGAGGACGACTCGCGGAGAGGGTCAGTCGAAGAATCTGAGCAACGCAGAATGTCAGCAGCAAGACAACGCAAAAGGTCCTCTGTGGATAGCGGGTCTTTCAAGGGTTCGGAGACAGGAGGGCGCAGAGGATCCACAGGTCATCGCAAAGGATCGGGACGCAAATGGTCAGCGTCGGACTACAGACCCCGAAGAGAGTCGGTCACGGAAGACTCCCACCAGGCGCAGCCCACGCCGCCCACAGGCTCCGCCCTGGAAGAGCCGGAGGCCGGCTCAGCCTCGCAGTCACAGGAGGGCGGCGCCACCAAAGAAAAGCAGGAGGAGGCCCCCACAGCCAGCAAATCGGATCGTCCCTTAGGCGGCAGCAAAAAGGAGCGCCCTGCAGGTAGTTACTCAGTTCTGTGAAATCGTTTGTCTCACAGGTGCTTTTAAACAATTTTATAAAACGTCCTGTGTCCTGGAGTGGCTGTTAGGAAAAAAAACCTTTCCAGAAAGCACTCGTGTAAGTTAGGATCTCTGCTGGCGCACCACGTCATATAAACAGCAGGGGTGTTTCGGTGCTCAACGCTAGAGTCTAGACCTCGAACTCGCAGTTAAATGAAAACCGGGGTGCCTTTCACTAATTTCCCTAGAATTTCATCTGTACCAAAATAAGAAGTCTAGCTAGTTTTTAAGTTGGTTTTGTTATTGTTGTTGTTTTTGTGTTTTGTTTCTGAGACAGGGTTTCTCTGTGTAGCCCTGGCTGTCCTGGAACTTGCTCTGTAGACCAGGCTGGCCTTGAACTCAGAGATCCACCTGCCTCTGACTCTTGAGTGCTAGGATTAAAGGCCTATGTCACCACCACTTGGCTTTTAAAAAAGGCGGAAACATTTTTGTTTTAAAAGCAAGTGACAGGCTGGAAAACTGGCTCAGCCGTTAAGAGCACTGGCTGCTCTTCCAGAGGTCCTGAGTTCAATTCCCAGCAACCACATGGTGGCTCAAAAACCATCTATACTGAAATGGGCTGCCCTCTTCTGGTGTGCATGAAAACAGAGCACTCATATACATAAATAAATCTTTCTTTCTTTCTTTCTTTTTTTTTTTTTTAAAGCAAGTGACTTAATTTTTCTTTTATTGCAACAATAAATGGGCCAGGCATAGCGGTATATTCCTTTAATCTCTGTTCTGAGGAGGCACAGGGAAGTGAATTGCTACAAGTTGGAGGCCAGCCTGGTCTACATAGTGAGTTCCCGGCCAGCCAAGGCTCCATAGAAGAGACCCTGTTTCAGAAACAAACAAACACAGACATTTGCACCTTTCATTTTTACTTTTTTTTCTAGAAGAGTTTCCAAAAGGTATATTTCAAGTAGAAGACACTCTGATTTTAAGTATGTTTAAAATTTATTTTTTTTGTGGCGGAGTTTTACTGGTACACATCGGTACCGTGTGTGCAGTACCGACGGAGGCCATAAGAGGGCATCAGATCACCTGGGACTGGAGACTGGACCCTGAGAACATTCTTGACCCTCTTGAACCACAAGTGCTCCTAAGCGGGCAAGCGGCCTCCCAGCCCCCTGAACGTCAATGCGCGTTCACCTCGCTGGTCAGAATGTAGACGTCTAGCAGCACTTGGCTATAAGAGAGCCCAGGAAACATAGCCTCACTCTGTGTAGCCAAGCAAATAGCTTTTACCACAGAGCTTCTCAAAACCATTAAAATTATTCAGTGATTTCATCGCGGTTGGTTACGCCACACCTATGCGAAGAAGGGCTTGGGGTTTGGGTTGTTGTGTATGCAAGGAATTTGTCTCATCGCTAGGTTCAGAGTGTCTAATGAGTTATTTCCAATCCACAGGAACTTCCTTTTCTTCTGTGTGTGTCTGTCTCTTTCTCCCTCCCTGTGTGTGTGTAATGTATGTGTATATTGTGTGTGTAGTGTGTGTATGTGTTGTATGTGTATTATGTGTGTATTGTGTGTGTATTGTGTGTGTGTTGTGTGTGTGTTGTGTGTGTATTTTGTGTGTATCGTGTGTGTGTGTGGTTTGCGCACACATGCCAGCTCAAGTGTGGAAGCAAAAGGAAAGCCTTCAGGTGTCGGTTACTTCCTTGTACTGTGTGACTCCCTGGGCTTAGACTCGGCGCTTTACCCTCTCCGTCCCCACACCAGCCCTGTTTCCCTTTGTTTCCCTTAGAACATGCAGAAAAGGAACCTCAGAGAGACAAAGCCTGTGAACCAAAGACCCAACATATAGAAGGGAAATTCTGGTCAGGTAACCCCGCACTTCAATTGGCCTTCCTTTCCCTTGTACCCTAGAGGGAAAACCTGGTGAAAATGACGTGAAATGGGCTGTGTTGTGTTTTTCGCAGGTGAATTTTTTATTTCTGACTGGAAGACAAAGCATAGCAGATCTGAAGATGAGGAACAGGCCAAAATCATCTGTGGGGACCCCAGATTCGCAGGTACTCATTAACAGAGAAACCAGGACATGCAGGTGACAGTCCAGTTCGTGACCTCAGTTTACCGCTGGGCCTAGTGAAGACTGGGTTTAACCAAAATATACTGATATTTTTACACCTTGTTGTTCCTGGAGACTGACAGCCCTAAAAAGAAGCCAGATGGGCGTTTTGGGTGGTGGTGAGCTATTGGTGATGTCATGTGCCACGGTGGTAATAGGCTGCTGCTGGTGATGTGCACACTGCTGGGTGTGGGGTGGCAGGTGGCAGGGACGTGCTGCCGGCGGCAGGGGAGTGTTGGTAAATGTGCTTAGACAGAGCGTGTAAAAGGTACGCTTCCGCATTCCGCTACCCTAACTGTCGCACTGTCCTGACACTGCTTTGAAGGCATGATCTGAGCCTACAAAAGGAATCAGATGTTAGAACACAATAGAAAAAGCAGTATTTCTTTCTCTAGTAGTTCTACGCCCAAACAGGTTGGACAGCTGATCCTGTCTTGCTTATGAAGACTTAACGAATAAAAGAACCATTGAACAGATGAAAGAGCAGCTCTTAGCTATCAGATAGTCCACACATTTAGCTATGATTGTTTTAAGTAATGCTCACGTTTTTAAATGCTATTTTATTATATTTCCCCCATCACTTTAAGTCGTAGAACTAATTACAGTGAGATCAAGATTATTTTCCTACATATAATCTCTTCTCGCTTAAGCCTGAATCAGAGAGTACACCTTGTTTTCAATCTAATTGATTTACTAGTTGGTGTTTGCGCATGCAATTCATGCATACGTGTGCGCTTATGTGCGGGTGATGCGTCCATGCGTGTACGTGGAAAACAGAGGTCGATGCTATGTCTTCTGCTGCTGAGACCTGAAGCTTGCCATTTCCGCTACACTGGCTGCTCAGCATTTTCCTGGCACCTGCCTGTCTACATCCCAATAGCACTGGGATCTTAGGCACATGCTGCTGTACCCAGCTTTCACGTGGGTGCTAGGGCTAGAAACCCACTCTGCGCCATTTCTCAAAGTCCAAGTAACACCTTCTGTCCTCAAAATATTTTAATCAGCATGCATAATGCCTGTCAAGTTCATACTCTTACCTACGTCAGTTTTTATTGATGGTGTTTTAAAAATCTCATGAGTAATCACTATGAAGTTACATCAGACTTCCAGAGAAGGCATAAGGGCACAAGTGATTGAACTGATGAATAAATGAAGCGTGAAGTCAGTAGGCTGACACTTTATGAAACACGATGTTATCACATTGAGCGCCAAGACGGATATATCAGCTAACATTGGCGGGGGATGAGCTGGTGTGTAACATTTGCTAACACATTTAACTGGGAAGCCCAGGCTATCCCTGGCTTTATGCACAGGCAGTCCCAACAGGGCTCAGCATCTCTCACCCTCTCTGCCACACTTTCTGTCACTTCCAATTTTAGGCAGTTTTCTTGACATTGTCTCAAAGATGACTACAAGCGTATCTGTCTACATACCACACACCACTAATTCAGCAATCAGAACGCAACACAGAAATTGCCCTAGTGGTTCTAATTTTCACGGGTGTGTAGTAGGTTTCATTGTTGCCATATATGAATTCTTGGCCAAATCTTACATCATACATTGATGGAACAAGGGTGGAAAGGCTCACGGCCATCTCACTCCTCCTCTAAACTGACAGTGAAAGAGAATTGTTTCCCAAAGAAAACAATGGATGCTGTCTTCACAGAGGGAACATGGATTCCTGAGAGGCAAAACCAGTAGGTTTGGGGGCCTGGGCTTTAGCTCAGGGGCAGTGTCCATGCTTGGGACATGAAAAGCCTTGTATTCTCAATACACCAAAACAACGTGATAGAAGGCATCTGTAGCAAGTCCTTACTTTTCCTCTAAAATCTGAGAGACGTGTTTATTTTACCGCCTGATATATTTTCCTGCCTTACAGACCTGCATGGGATTATTAGGAATATTCAGACCTACAAAGAAATAAAAGGGAGGAGTGCTTTCAGTCTAACCTCTCTCAACTTGCTGCAGTTTGTGCAACTCCTAGAGACATTTGTTGGTGAAGATACCCCCTTGAGGGTCAGCCAGAACCTCATCTCCTTTTTTCAGAAGAACTATTCTGAAACAAAACAGGAGAAAATGAGAGCCTTAGAACAGGTGGGTGATATTTACCAGTGCAACACTTAAGATCTTCCAACCTCGTCTGTTCCCACTGTGTGGTCTCTTTAAAACTGTACGACCAAGCCGAGTCATGGCGGCACACACCTTTAATTCCAGCACGCAGGGAGGCAGAAGCAGGAGGATCTCCCAGAGTTTGAGGCTGGTCCACAGAGGGAGTTCCAGGACAGCCAGGGCCACACAGAGAAACCCTGTCTCAAAAACAGCTAAGAAAATACGGCCAAGTGTGCCCCTTTGTTTGAGCCAGCAAAGTCATTAAATACCCTTTTGCTTAATAAGACTACACTGCAGAGAACGCCCTTTCCTAAAAATGACATGGTTGCTTCTGGCAGGAGCGGGCTCACGGGGCAGCTCTGTCTCTGGGCGTTGAAGCCCACGGTGCAGGTACGTGTAGGTGTGTAGGTGTGTGTGCGCCGTCTGCCTGTGAGAGCATGTGCACATGTGTATACTTAAGTGTGCTCGGGCCTGAGTGTGTATTTGCACTCGAGGGCCCCCAGGGGCACGTGTTTCCTAAGTCCTTACCGCTTCCTTCGGTGGGAGCGAGTGCACACACATTACCTTATGTGAGCGAGCCACTCTGCCTCGTGGAACGCAGGTATCAGTTTTACCATCTTTCTTCACGTAATCTCATCGTCCTTCCGAGTCGTCTCAACCTAAGTTCAGGCTTGATATCCCTTTGGCCTCAAATTCAGTCCCCTCCCTTAACCAAAGGGGTCAGAGGGAAGGGGGGGAGGACCTCCCCTATCAGTGGACTTGGGGAGGAGCAGGGGAGGGGATGAGGGAGCACAGAGTGGGATTGGGAAGGGATGAGGGGGGGGGCTACAGCTGGGATACAAAGTGAATAAACAGTAATTAATAAAAAATTAATTAATTAGAAAAACGACTCCTGGGACTATAGATATGTGTCAGTATGGCTGGCATATGCATTATTTCTAAAATTAAATCAATTTAGTCAGTAGCTCAATAATTGTACATTATTATCTAATTAATAAATTATCCAGTGAAAATTCTAAAAAAAAAGTGTTAAAATCAATGTTAAGCTAAATAAATGTGGAATATAAACATTTTTCCTTTTTTTAAAAAAATATTTATTTATTTTTAATTGTGTGTGTGTTTTTGTGTGTCTTTGTATGTGTCTGTGTGTGTGCACATGAGTGTAAGTGTATGCGGAAGCCAAAGGCTTTGGATCCCCCAAACCTAGAATTCCATACAGCCAGTTGTGAGCTGCCAGATGTGGTGCTGGGAGTCCAACCTGGACCTTCTGGAAGAGCAGCAGAATGTGTTTGTAGCTGCTCAGCCATCTCTCCGGCCTCACAAGGAACTTTTTAAAACATAGACATTTTTTGTTGTTATTTGAACACTGTTTTTTATTCATTATTTTTCATTATAAAACATATGCCCTTAAAAAGCCAGATAGAGGGAGAAGGGGGAGGGTTGGAGTGGGAGGGGATGAGGGAGGGGGGGCTACAGCTGGGATACAAAGTGAGTAAACTGTAATTAATAAAAAATTAAATAAAATTTAAAAACCAGATAGAGCCATCTATGTGTTTATTATAGTTCTGAATAACCAAGGAGGAGGTGGAAAGAAATAATTAAAAAATTAATCCTTTCTAATCTGAAGTGTTTTGGTCTCACAGAGAATTCACAGATACTTTGGCTGAGGAGTGAAACAGGAAAGTGGCAGTTAGGAAGTTAAAATCCAGCCATACACATGTCCTTAATCCCAGCACTCAGGAGGCAGAGGCAGGCAGGTCTCCATGAGTTCAAGGACAACCTGGTCTACAAAGGGAGTCCAGGACAGCCAGGGCTCTATTACAGAAAAAAAAAAAAAAACAACCAACCAACCAAACAAAAAACAACCCTGTCTTGAAAAAACAAACAAACAAAACAAGAGGGGGAGAGTGGAACCCAGCGTCTGTGTTCCCTCTAAAAAAAAGTGCTGCACTTCCGTTAAATGCAAGCTGCCAGCCAGCACAATGAAGGCTCCACCTCCTGTGCCTGTATCCTGTTTGTATCCTAGGCCAGACAAAATGCTTTCCGAGTCCGGAAGGAGCTTCTTCTAGAAGCCCTCTTTCAAAAGTGGGACAACGATGGCTCAGGCTTTCTGGATCTGAATGAAGTTGACGAACTCTTGCATACGTATAAAGAAGGCATGGAAAAGGAATCCATGAAGAAAGGTAAAACATTAGCACGTTCCTATTTAAGTTGTGGTAACAACCTGGCTTTCGGCTTCTCGATACTACGCCGTATACACACAGTAAAAAACAAGCATTCGTTAGAGGCTGCTGGGCGGGGGGTGATTCATTTGGTCCAGTTCTTCTATGCAAGCGTAGGCCCGGGATTTGGATTCCCAGCGCCTGCGTAGCCATCAGGCGCCGCGGCACGGGTCAGGCACCGCAGCGCTGGCGAAGCAGAGCCACGGGGAATCCCTGAACGTATTGGTCAGCCAGTGAGCTCCGGATTCAGCGAGAGACCCTGTCTCAGAAATGAGGTGGGGAGCAACTGAGGAAGACACCCAATCCACACGAACACGCACGCTGACATGCGCAGTGCACACACGTGTCTAACACACACACACACACACACACACACACACCGGCTGTCCCAAATGCATCAGATACCTTTCGAAACTTGCTAGTATATTCAAATTTTTTTTTCTTTCTCTCAATCCTTGGTTGAGTTTACAGCCTCGTGCATGATGCTCAAGCACTCTGAGCTATATCTCTCTATCCCTCTTTTTACTTTTTAAATTTTATTTATTTATTTTTTAACAGAGTTTCATTAGGCCTTCCAGGCCGGCTTTAAACTGGCTCTGCCGTCTAGGCCAACTTGAACATTCAATCCTCCTGTCTCGGCCCACTGAGTGTCTGAAATTACAGGCCTGTACCACCAGGCCTGAGCTGTTAAGTGGGAAATAGTGAAGAGACTGGAGAGCATGTGATGTGCAGGAACCCGTGGGTGTTTAAGAGTGGAGCATGATGCAGAGCGTTTCCCCTCAGACCCTGAGCCAGGCCGAGTCTTGTCTGTGAACTGACTGCCTTCGCTCTGGCTGGGTCTAAAGCTTCTCTTCAGTGTTCCCCTTTTTTTATTCTCTTTAATGATTCTTTTCTCTTTTTTTTTCCTTATACCTTTACTTTCTTTAGCTGATATAAAACTTTTTTTTTCTAGAAAACTAAGACATTAGGAACCACTAAGAAATTCTTCCAAGCTGGGTGTGTTCACACATGTCTGTAATCCCAGCACTCAGGAGGCAGAGAGGAAGATCTCTGTGAGTTTGAGGCCAGCCTGATCTACAAAGCAAGTCCAGGACAGCCAGAGCTACACAGAGAAACCCTGTCTCATAAAAGCAATTCTTCAGTCTTTTTTATTTTTTTATTACTATGACCTTAGTCCATTTGAGGATTGTAAGCTTGTTTGTAGTATGTTCTTTGCAAAGGCTTGTGACTGGATGCAGATTACCCATCTTTGGCAGTGTCAGAACACATGATCGATGTCGTGTTCTTATCGAATCCTGTTAGAAATCCTATGAGAATGACGTGGATCAGTTGATTAAAATGATATCTGATCTAGTCCAGTAGGTAATATCCTTGCATTGCAGGCGCAGAGCACTGAGTCTGATTCTCCGAACTTCATAAACCAGGTGTTAAGGGACACATCAGTAGAACCTTGACTATATATGGAGTTCAAGGCTAGTCCGGGATATGTGAGACCTTCTCTCAAAAAATGTTTTTCTGTTGGCCCTTCTACTTTAAAGTTAGTTTTTTGTTTTTTGTTGTGTGTGTGTGTGTGTGTGTGTGTGTGTGTGTGTGAATAATTAGTATTCTGTGGATGTACTTTGTAACATAAAAGTATTTCTCTTTTGCCAAGTGTTTCGTTGGGTTAAATTCCAATATTATCATTATTTGTCTTAATGTTCTTAATGTCCCAGATTTGTCCGGCTTTCATGTCCTCTCATCTTCTTCACATCGTATTATGAAAATGCTCTGACCCACAGCGAGTCTGAAAGAATTCTGCAGTGAGGCGCCTGTCTCTCCACCAGTGACGCTTTCCCAGGGCCCCCTGTCATCACCCCGTCCACTCCCCATCTTTCTGCCTGTTTCTGTTATTTCTGAGACATCTCGAAGCAAAGTGTACACTTCTTCCTGAATACACAGGCATGTGTGGCATCACCTTGAGTTCAATAATTAGTAACTTTTTTTTCTCTTGATGCAAACTTTCCACAAAATTGGATGTGCAAAATTTAAGTGTAAATGGGCTGGGTTTTGACAAATCCATGAGCAGTGCAGCTCACGCTTCTGTGGAGAAATATAGCATAAAGCTCCTCATGTCCTGTCCCCATGCAGCCACTGAGGGTTTTGCACCATAATTTTTCTTGTCTAGACCTCATAAAAATGGGATTATACAATATATACTCCTTAAGGCAAGGCTTCTTTCATTTGGCATATTTTTTTTTCTTGAGATTCTTGGATACTATGGATTTCTGAGCCACTAGACAAATGGGTATTTTCATTTTTCAAAGAAATCTTGGGCAGCTTTCTCTGCCATTTAATGTTCCCATCATTCTTTGACAACTTCTTTGCTTTCTGATGAGATCCTGTGGGTTCATCTCAGACTTCACCTATTTACATCCTGGAATAATCAGCTTCCTAGGGCACCTCGGTGTCTGAAAGGTACTTACTTTTCAATTTATTTTTATTTTATGTACACGGGTGTTTGACTGCATGTGTGTCTGTGTGAGAGTGTCGGATCCCCTGGAGCGGGAGTTACAGGAGAGAAAGGAATGAAAAGCAAAGAACTTGAGCTGCCCTGTGGGTGCTGGGAACTGAACCCGGGTCCTTTGGAAGGGCAGCCAGGGCTTCACCGCTGAGCCATCTCTCCAGCCCTGAAAGGATTTAAAAGCCAAGATTTGAATTATACATGTACTCAAGCCAAAGCTCTGCTTTTGGCTTCCTCGAGAGACGGAGGTAGAGAAGGTGCATGTGTCTGCATGGACACGCCCATGTTTATGTGAACATGAAACACATGTCTACATATCTTTGTCTACTGATATTAAAACTCATGAGTTCACACCAATGCCTCCATGTCCAATTCATCAGAACCCATTCTTATTTTCCCCCATCTCTATAGGTCCTTTCCTCTCACCACATCAAGCCCATGGACGACGTTTTTAGCATATGTCTTGGGCTCTAATGCTCCGTGCATGCCAGGGCCCTTCCTCACACAGATGCTCTCCTCAGCCCGTCCAGGCTCCAGCTCCCTGTGCAGGGCTGACTGCTCCCTGAAGTCTTGCAAAGCAGAGTTCTCATATTGGACTTCCCTTTGCTAGAAATATCCTCTTCATCTTGTGTAGGTCGTGACTCCTTAGACCAGGGTGTCGGTCCATTTGGGTGCCCTCTTCAGTCCATTCAGTATTCAAAATCCAAACGGATCTCTGCCATCCAAACCCGGCCTATCTCCCTGAAGAGCCACCCTCTTCACCCCCACAGGCCAAAGTTGCTCTTCCACCATTTTCACAGTGCTCAGGCTCTGATAACCCACGCCAGGTTGTTCCCGAAGAACGCCCTTCTTAGCACATGTAAACTCGGATGCATGAATCGCTGCACCACTTCTGCTTTTCATGACCGAAAGCAGATGCTTCTCTTGCTCTGCTCAGTGGTATGGCTTTAGGACGGCACTGCTCAAGGAGAGAAAGGAATGAAAAACAAAGAACAGGAGGAAAATGAGCTCATGAAGCACCTTTTTGTTCGCTTGTTTTTGTTTTGTTTCTTGAGACAGGGTGTATTCCTGCTGCCCTGGAACTAAGTAGACCAAGCTGGCCTTGAACCCACAGAGATCCCCCTGCCTTTCTTTTAAATTCTGGGATTAAAGGTATGTGCCGCCACACCTAGCTTCGTGAAGCACTTTTAGTCTGTTTAGAGGGTGAGACAGCTAGGATGCTTTCGGTTCAAATCGTGGAAGACACAACTCGAAACAGAAAAGAAAGGAGCCTACTCTCTCACATTGCTTCCACAGTTGGAGGTTCAAATTATGACATTAGGGGCTGTCCAGTTCTTCCTCTTCTCTTGCTTTCTGCCTGGCCCTTTCTCTTCTCTGTTTTGGCCCGGTTGTCACACAAGCCTTTCCTGTATGGTAAGCGGGTTCTGGCCCACAATGTCTCAGAGTCCTTCAAATCAACAGGAATAAAATGGAAACCATCCTCCGCCTGATCACTCAAGTCTGAATTCAGGCTCATGTCTCCGGGAGCATCAAGTGTTCTGACATTTATTATACATGTAAAAGTCATAGGGTGGCTGGGCGGTGGGGGTGGCGCACACCTTTAACCTAAGCACTTGGGAGGCACGAGCAGGCAGAGCTCTGTGAGTTCAAGTCTAGGGTGGTCTACATAGCAAGTCCCAGGCCAGCCAGGGCTAGAGAAAGAGATTCTGTCTCAACAAACAAACAAACAGAAAAGGCCTGGCATTTTAATACACTAAATCCGCCACTCGGACCAGAAGCACAGAACGTCCTCATCTGTGTGACCCTGGAGAAGCTGTTCTACCTCTAAAACTACAATGGACCCCACTCAGACTGTGAGCTGCGGTGAGAGTAGGCTGGCGTCCCCAAGGCAAAAGTGCAGCCTCAGACGCTGGAAAGTCCACGGATGTTAAAGAGCCAAGAGCGATGAATGTTTAACTACAGAAGTCAGAGCTCGCGCACGACGACGTGGCTACAAATTCCAGGTTGTGTTTGTTACTTGTGCACTGAATGGTATTGAGTGGGTGCCCCGTCACTAAAGGGAAGGGAAAACCAGCCGGGTGGGGTGGTGCACGCCTGTGATCCCAGCACTCAAGGAGGGAGGCAGGAGGAGGATCTCTGCGAGTACGAGGCCAGCCTGATCCACAAAGCTACAAAGCCAGTCCAGGACAGCCGGGGCTACACATAGAAACCCTGTCTCAAGAAAAAAGAAAGGGGGAGGGGAGGATGGCAGGGGAGGACATTTTGAGAGGAGAGTTCGAACCCACTTTAAAAGGAAAGGGCACGTGCCCTATCTATCAGTTACCTTTCTCGGCTGGGACAAAAACACCCCATCAAAGCAGCCGAAGGAAGGAAGGGGTTATTTTGACTCACAGTTTGAGGTGTGGGCCGTCATGGAGACGGGGAGAAGGTAGAGGGCAGCAGCTGGTCACGTGGACGTTGCAACCCCAGTCAGGAAGCAAGCAGGAGGGAATGCCGATACTCCGCATACTTTCTCCTTTTTACTTAGTTCAAGGTATCTAGCCCAAGGAATGATGCCACCCAAATTTAGGGTGTATCTTGCCATCTCAACTAACCCAGTCTAAAACTCATAGATATGCCCAAAGATTTGTTGCCAAGGCAATCATTGATCCTATCAGGTTGGCAATCATCATAAACCATTGCACCCTAGGGTTTGTTTGTTGTTCTGGTTTGTCTTTTTGGATTTTTCAAGACAGGGTTTCTCTGTGTATCTCTGGCTGTCCTCACTCTGTAGACCAGGCTGGCCTCAAACTCAAAGCTCTGCCTGTCCGTGCCTCCTGAGTGGCTAAGATCAACGGTGTGCGCCACCCCCGCCACCCAGCCACCCTAGGGCTTGTACATGTGTAATAAATGTCAAAGCACTTTGTGTAGCTGCGCCAGGAGACGTGTGCCAAATGCTGGCAGTGAAGGTCCTAGGAGTGAAATAGTAAAAACGCCTGAAACGCATATTGCCAGGAGAACAAATGATGTTATACTCACACAGTGAGCACTGTGGCTCAGATAAACGCGTCAAAGCTGCAGGGACAACATGATGAACACGGTAGCATAACGTTAAATGAGCAAGTCCTAGGGCTGTAGAGTCCTTGCTGCTCGGGCTGAGAACCCGAGTCCAGTCCCCAGCCTCTTCTTCAGCTGGCTTACGACTGCCTGTAACTCCAGTTCCGAGGGATCCAGCATTCTCTGTTTATCTCCATGGGAGAGGGGAAGCACACATGATCATGAAGGCACACGTGCATGTAAATAAATACAAAATTATCTTTTTTTTTTTTTTTTTTTTTTTATTAAGGGGCTGGAGAGATGGCTTAGAAGTTAAGAGCAGTTAAGAGTTAAGAGCCCTTACAGAGGGCCCCAGTTTTTGATTCCTCCTATGCATGTATCAGCTCATGACCATCTGTAACTCCAGTTCTGTGGGATCAGATGCCCTCTTCAGGCCTCCAAGGGGACCAGGCACACACAGGATACACGGACATGCATGCAGGCAAAACACCCGTAAAGAATAAAAAATAAATTAATTAAATTTTAAGATAAAAGAAATATTTTAAAAGCAAGCCCAAGCAAACTACATGTGGTCCGATAATCTTTGTGTAATATTTGCAAACAGGTAAAACGATGTAATGCTTGGAGATATTTATGTGCAACATAGTTGCTTTAGGTAACTGTTACAGTGTGGGGAAAAGAAAAAAAAACAACAAATTTCGGGTAAGAGATGTATTGAGAGAGGGGATAGAACAGAGCACAAGAGGATGAGAAAGGTAAGTTAATGATAACGTTCCAGTTTGATAGTAGATTCATCATTGTACAAAAGAAAAATGAAACAGGGCCTGGAGAGATGGCTCAGAGGTTCAAATCCCCGCAGCCATATGGCAGCTCACAGCCGTTTGTAACTCCAGTTCTGTGGGATCTGATGCCCTCTTCAGGCCTCCAAGGGCACCAGTCACACATATGATATACAGACGTGCATGCAGGCAAATACTCATACACATAAAATAATATTTTTAACTTAAAAAATTTTTAAAGGAAAATGGAAAAGAAGATCTGGAGCATACTCTGGTGGTAGGGTGTTTGGCGTGTCTGAGACTCTGGTTTTAGTCCTGAATACCATAAAAAAATAGAATGAAAAAGTGTGGATATATGCAGGCCATGGTCAGGAGCTATGAGCAGAATGAACCACCCTTCTTTGCTGGTGCCCACAGCAGGGATGATTTAAAACCAGGCACAATTCAAAGAAAAGCTTGAACCAGGGGATTGCACAACGCAAGCTGTCTGGGGCGTTTTGGTTTAGCCTTCGGAGATAAATGAGATTGCCCCAGGATTAGCCCGGGCTGCCTTCAAAAACTCATCATTTTTCTGCTTGAGCCTTCTGAGTCCTGGAATTACAAGCCTGAGTATGGGGTGGTGGAGGGGTGGGGTACGTGCGTGCGTGCGTGCGTGCGTGCGTGCGTGCGTGTGTGTTTTAGTCCTGAACCCAGGGTTCTGTGAATGCAATGTGCATTACCACTGAGTCATAGCCCAGCCCGGCAAGTTGTGTGAGGTTATGAAAGCAGGAGTGGAAATGAGTGGTCACAGGAGACAGTGCCCCAAAGCAACAGGATAGGCTGCGGAAGACAAGCAGTCGGGGAGTCCCAGTAGATCCTACAATTTCACCTGGCTGAGAGGTAGAATTAAGACAAAAACCTGGCCAGCAGAGAAGTCATACTGATTGAGTGTAAGATGTCAGTCAGTGTGCTCAGAAATGCCTTTAAAATACTTTCACACTGAACACATGTTAAGGGCTTTGGCTTGATGTAAGAGGAAAATGAAAACATTTCCTATAGATTAATGAACGTTTAGCCTCTTCTCTGCTTCTTGCTTATGTCTTTTAGCTAAGTTGCACATCCAGTTTCCAAAGCAACAATCTGGCTGTGAAGTAAAATTGTCTTCAAAGCAGTTTCAGAATTACATAGAATTGGTTGTATCTGAACTCAGGGGCAATGAAGACCAAGTTCTGGAAAATGTTGTGGAATTCCTGATGTGTTCTTTAAACAGGACCCACACTGAGGGTCTAAGGAATTGTGCGAGACGGAAATGGCTACATCATATCCAGCATGCTGCCCAGACAAGTGGAGTGTCCCTGGAGCCTGTGTATTTTGAGACCTTTAGGGCTCTCACCCAGGTATGCTTTCGAAAGTAATATAAGGGAAAACTTATTCTCACACTATGTGATGTTCAATGGCTACATAGGAGGAACACATAAAATTTGCTTGAAAAAAAAAATCACTGGATGCTGAGAGAAAAAAAAAATCATTGAATGATGCTACAGGCGACTTGTTTATTATAAGACGTTATAATTGACTCAAAGCCGAGCAAGGGGCCAGGGATGAAGCTCAGCTGATAGAATGCCTGGCATGGTTGGGGTGCAGGGCTCAGCCCAGTTCCTCATTAACCGTGTGTGAGGGACACATCCTGCAATCTCAGGTCTCAGAAGGTAGAGCCAAGAAGATCTGAATTTAAACATCATCCTTGGCTGTACACTGAGGTTGAGGCCAGGCTGGGCTACATAAAGTTCTGTCTGTAAGCATAGATACAGCAAGCTAAGTGAGATAAAGCTGGTGACTGGCGCAAGCTAGAAGGTTGTAGAAATGATGTCCCGGAATTGTATTTGTTCTGAGGGTCCAATACACCAAGACCAGGTGATGAAATGATAATGAAAAATGCCAGTGAGAAAATATGCAATCATACATGCTGCGTTTTCTTTGCGTGCTGCTTGGGGAACGATTTAGCCATCAGAAAAGAAATTTTCAACTGTTTAAATTTCATTTTTGTTATTGAGGGACACGCCAGGGCGCATGTGTAAAGGTGTTAGGTGCATTTGTAAGGGACATGTGTAAGGTGTTAGGGACAACTTGTGGGGACTCTCTCCTTCTACCAAGTGGGTTTCACACTGGTTCAGCCACCCTCTCAGACCAGCCAAGACTGCACAGCGAGACCTTGTCTTAAGAAAGAGAAAAAGAAAGAACAAAAAGAAAAGAAAAAGAAACGCAAATGACCAACAATATTTAAGTTTCCACATTCTTAGCCACTGGAGAAACACAAATTAAAACCAGTTTCAGATTCCATCTCACCCCAGTTAAAATGGCCACAAAAGCTGACAAGGACGTGGGGGGAAAAGAGGAAGCCTTATCTAGTGCTGATGAGTTCAGCCACTATGAGTTCAGAACTCAGATGGATGTTCTTTAAAAAGCTAAAATTAGAACTACCATGTGGCTCAGCTGTACCAAAGAACCAAAGAACTCTGTATGCTATCACAGAGACACTTTTACATCTGCATTCATTGCTACATTTTTTTACAATAGCAAAGAAATAGAAGCAGCCTAGATGGCCAACAATAGGATAATAGATAATTAAAATGTGGCACAGATACATAATGGAATTTGCTCAGCTGTAAAGAAAAATGAAATGATAAAGTTTGCAGGAAAATGGAGTATTCTGGAAATATTAAGTGAGGTGACCCAGGCTCAGAAAGACAAGAATCATGTTCTCTCTTCTATGCAGACCCCACCCTTTAATATGTAAATAAGGAGAGTGCATTAGTCAAAGTCTTATAGGGAAACAGAACTGATAGGCTTTATCTATTCAGTGGGGTAGCACACACCTTTAATCCCAGCATTCAGGAGGCAGACTTGGGAGGATCTTTGTGAGTCTGAGGTCTTCTGTATAACGAGCTCCAAGACATTCAGGACTACAGAGAAAGAACCTGTCTCAAAAGGGGGAGGGGAGAATTAGAATGGCATACAGCCTGTGGTCCAGCTGGTCCAACAACGGCTGTGTTCTAAGGGAAGGTCCAAAAATCCAGTATCCCTTCAGTACATGACTGGATGTCTCCGCTGGTCTTCAGTGTGTGCCAGAATCCTGAAGAAGTAGGCTCCAATGCCAATGAGGGAAGGGATTCCCTAGTGAGAGTGAGGGCAAGCAGGCAAAGAACAATGCTTTCTTCTTCCATGTCCTTTCTATAAGCTGCAACCAGAATGTGTGGCCAAGATTTAAGCTAGATCTTCCCACTGCAAAGATCCAGATGGGGGGGGGGTCCTCCCACCCCAACTAATTCAATCAAGAAAAGTCTCTCGCAGATGAACCTGGCTTAGGCTGTTGTTAACTTCACGTGTAGTCAAGTTGACAACCCAGAAGAGCCACCAAAGGGCAGAAGGATGAGTGTAGGCTATGAAGCTGGATAAGACAAGGAGAGAACAAGAGGTGTTGGGGAGAGGGGAATGAAGACTGTCACACGTGACACAAAAGCAGAAAGGGGGCTATTGGGGTGGGGAACAAGGGAGAGAAATGAATGGGGGAAGAATTGGAGAAAAGGAGAGGCAACAAAAACAAATTTTGTTTGATGAATGCTGCAGTGAAACCTAATCTCTGTATGCTAATTTTAAAACAAAATGTCTGCAGTCCCAGTCTTCAAAAAACTCTTTCCTGAAGTGCCCCCGGACAAATCCAAACTGCTAAGAATTCCTTGAGGCTGTAAAAATGTCTCATCTGTTGAGCACACTTGTCGTACTTGCAGAGGACCCAGCTTCCATTGCCAGCGTCCTTCTGCCGCAGCCCTCTCAAATCGGCGCTTTTTCCTGAAGTCTCTCACCCTGAACTGCGACTGTGGTTCCAAAGGGTCTACAAACCTTTGCATGTGATTAGAGTTAAGAGATTTGGGTTTAGATTGGGTTGTGTTTGTTTTCAGTAAAGCAAGTCAGCTACATATAAGACATCCATTTTACCAACTAAACGAAATCAGGTTTGAAGGGCAACCCAGTATCAGCCCATTTCCCACTGCTCAGGATTGCTAATCTCTACATCATTTACTCAATGGAATTATTGGTGCTAGATTCCCAGATAGGCTAGCAAAGGGGTTAGAGGATTTCTGTAGCTGTTGACAAATAAAATACGTGGTCATAAATACTCTACCACAGGATGCCGAGGCTCACGGAAATAAGAAAATCAGTGCTCACATTTCCCTCTTAGAGGAAAACCAGCTCCTGCCTACCAGAGGGGATGTTCTTCTGAGGAACGTAGCTTGTACCCTTGATGATGCTCCGTATGTTCTGAACAAAGCACTCTACAGGGACATGCAAGGAATCAGGTAAGACCCTGCAGAAGAGCTCTTTTCTCTCTAATGTTTTAAAGACAGGAGCTCACATGCTTCTGGCTGGCCTCCAACTCGCTGTGTCGTCAAGGCTAACACTGAACTTCTGATCCTCCTGCCTCTACCCCCCTGGATTACACATCTGTGCCACTATACATGACTCTGCTTGCATCTTTCTAAAACAGTATTTCCCATTCTGAAGTAAATTGGCAAATGCCCCTAGTGAGGTATTCAAGAGAGAACTTGGTCTTTAAGTCACCAATGCTCCCAGAGTGGGACCTGATGGATCTCCTTTCCTAAATGTTTTTTGCCGTTATTGTAGTTTAATTAATTAATTAATTCTGTGTGGGTGTTTTGTTGGCATGCCTGGTGGCCAGAGAGAGTGTCAGAGCCCCTGGAACTGGAGTTATAGTCAGTTGTGAGCCACCATGTGGGCCCTGGGGATTGAACCCAGGTCCTCTGCGAGAGAAGCAGTGCTCTTAACCGCTGAGCCAGCTCTCCAGCCCCATAATTCCAAATGCTTTTACCAGATCATTTTTAGAACTCACTCTGGAAATGATTCACCACCTAGGAGCTCAGCTCTACAATGTTGGCTTTAAGATCCTGCCTTGGTGTCCCCGAAACAATGCACTGGACCTGGGGTTAACTCTTTCTTTCCCAAGTTGTTCTGTGTCAGGATATTTTTTCACAGCAACAAACATGCTATATTTTTATTGTTGTCACTTATTTCTGTTTCTCTTTTGTGTTACTGGAGCTTGAACTGGATGCCTCACACATGCCACACAAGCACTCTACCTGTGAACTACCCTTCTAGCCTTAAGATTTCTTTTTAATGTATCCAAATCAGAACTTCCAAATTGGTGATATTGCCTCATCCACCTCTCATATATATAGTGCTTAGAATCGAGGAAGGCTATGATTTTGCTTTCTCTGTGGCTTAGTCTGTGGCTTTTCCCTATCCTTGTATCCCTTTCCAACAGCTTTACAGTCGTGGATGAAGGCAAGCCAATCCATGTCCCCCAAGTTCAACACCATGGGAACATCTTCTTCTGGAACCAGTCCCGAAGTAAGAGTGAGCAAAACGGGTCATTCCTGGCTCTGCCGCTTCAGGACGCAAACATGAGGATCTTTGGGGTCCTGGCAGTTGACACTCTTCGAGATCCTCAGGAAGTAAACATCTTCCTGCCTCATGAAATCAGTTTCTATCAGGTGAGCTAGAAGCTGACAGGAGCAGTGGCCAGTAGCTTGTCTGTCTGTATGTCTTCCAAGTCAAACCTGGAAGCAGAGAAGAGTAAAGGACACTGTATGCAGACAGAGTCACCATGCTTGTTCTGTTTCCTGTCTGTATCAGCCTCCTGGCATGTTTTTGTTTTGTTTTGTTTGTTTGTTTGTTTGTTTTTGCCATCTGTGCAAAGATTGATACACACCCACGCCTGAACTCCCTGGAATATTGCTCAAATAGGTCTCAGCCCTAAGCATAGGAATAGAAACTGATGCTTTGTAACAGAACTAATGGCCCAACCAATCACTGAGATCCTCAGAACAGGAAGGGGCCAGCAGAAGGCTACTCTTAACTGAAACAAGCTCTTGACTGTCACAAGCTAGAATAACGGGGAAGAGAGTCTTAATTAACGAGGTAGATGGGGCTGGTCTGTGGGGGCTATCCTGATTGGTAGATGGGGCTGGTCTGTGGGGGCTATCTTGATTGGTAGATGGGGCTGGTCTGTGGGGGCTATCTTGATTGGTAATCGATGTAGGAAGAGCCAGCCTTTTAGGCAGCACCGTTCCAAAGAATGTCTGCAGGCAGCACCCTCTAAGGCAGAGGCTGCTTGTCAGTGTAAGAGGGGAGGAAGCTGGCTGAGCAGAGCAGCAGCAAGCAAAGAGCCACAAGTTTATTCTCTATTCTTGTCTGCAGGTGGTGCTTTAGCCACTGTAAGCTCCTGCCTTGACTTCCCTGCAACATGGTGTTAACCCTTTCTTCCCTAAGTGGTTTTTGTGTCGGGATTTTTTTTTTTCACAGCAACAAAAATTATACATATACATATATTTAATTAAAAATGCTCCCTGTCAATTCCTTTGTCCTTTGCACACAGAATACTAAACATGCTATGCATACTCAAAGCTCTTGATTTTAGCGTTATAAATCTTGGGGAAAATGAAGAAGCCCAAATATCTCTTGAGAATTCATATTTTCAAATTAGATCGTGAAAATGATAGGCATGTTTCAGGCTGTGAAACAGCTAGGACATTTCGACCTGATTTTGTGGTTAGAAACGTCGATGGAGATAGCTCTTCAGCCTGTGGAGTGTGGTCTGCAAACCAAGTCAGGAGCTCACCTTGCCGCTGTTAGCTGTCCCTCTAAGCCGTCGTTCTTCATACGCTGCCGTTATTCTGTGCTTTCTCTTTTACCTTGTGGCTGGATAGCTACGGAAAGATCTACATTCTTTTTCTGAACATATTTTAGTAAGATTCATTCTTGTGTCTAATAGGAGACAAAGGAAGCAAACGGTAGGGCATGGGGTTGTCAGTAAATTAACTGCTTATAGTCTTATTAGCAAACACGTTCAAAAGATGATAAATTAGGTCTCTTGTCCTGGAAATTAAATATCCCTGGGTTACCCTTAGATGACTTCAATCAATCAATCAGTCTGGGGTGTGTGTGTGTGTGTGTGTGTGTGTGTGTGTGTGTGTGTGTGAGATTTTGAAGAATTGTGGTTCCTTGAGTTTTTTGACAAGGCTACAGTTGGAATTTATGGACAGCCCATCTACCCCCTCTCAGTGGAACAGTCTTATGATTGTAGGAAGACTGTGGGACTAGTATTTGTAGGCCTTAAAAACAAACATGCTCTGTTCAGTTGACCTGATGGTAAAGGCCATAAAGAGTCAGGTTAATTCCAGGACTAGGGAGGGAGAGGCAGGTGGATCTCTGTGAGCTCAAGGCCAGTCTGATCTACGTAGCAAGTTCCAGGCTGGGCAGGAAGGACCCATAATGAAAACCTGTCATAATAATAATAATAACAACAACAATAATAATGATAATAATATCATTATCAAATCAGGGAAGCTCATAGCATTCTGGACCAGAATCTTGGCTTTTGAAGGTTTTTTTTTTTTTCATGTCTAAGTTTATCTTCTTCTGACTGCACACATCACAAAGCATAAAAAATTATAGAGGCTTCTCTTTACACTTTTGATGTCTTGATGACCCTTTCGCATAGCAAAGTCTCGAAGCATACCTCTTGAGAGCCGATTTTACCTAATTTGCCGATCACAAATGTGAGAAGCAGTCCTTACTGACCAGCGTGCGCTCTTGCTTGATGCGCACGGACCCGCCTGTCTCCGCAGGGTGTGGCCAACGCCTTCAGCACGGCTTATCACTACGTGCACAGCAGAGAGCACATCCTGCACACTGTGCTCACGGGCATCAGGTGGCTCTTCAGCATCACGTCCGGCATCTCCTCCGTCACCACCTGCTTCATCGAACCCAGCTCAGAGCAGGTAGGCAAAGCCGGGCCATGTGACACCCCTCTGATACTATACAATTAGCAAATATCGATGTCCTGTTAATATTTAAGGGCCGCATTGTCTGGGGCGTGACTCCGAGGTGGAGTTTGATCCCAGAACCACACACACCAACAGAGGTGAGTAACTAAGATGCTAATCCCAAACTCAGAACTCTTGGCTGCACAGTGCTCCGGATGCTTGATGGAGACATTAAGACTTTCTTGTCTCTGCCTCACTCCTGGAGGTGGATTAGGAATGGGAGCAGGAGCTTCGGTTCTCCTCAGACCTAGACTAATCCATCCCACCTGACAAATGACCAGCCCAGTAAGGCCAAAGTGGGGTCTGAGAAGGATTCAGAAGCACCTTTTCAAGGTTTTGAGGAATAGAACAACTAGGGCAAATGGCCAAAATATCCCAAATCATTAAGCAAGAAGCATGGCTTGCCAGTGTTTAATTTTAGTATCTTGACAACATGGACAAAACCACAAGGGCCATGGACCATCTGCTCAGGACCATTTATAGGGATGAAAAGGACCATGTTGAAATGTTAGGGGAAAGACAGTCATCCCAGCAGCCAGGGTCTTAGCAATGGCATGGCCAGGCAGAGACCAGAACAGCTTTTGGAAGTTGGTTCTCTTGTAACCACACAGGTCTCAGGGATCAAACCCGGGTCATCAGGCATGCCAGCAAGCGTCAAGTTCCCTTGCTTACTGAGCCATCTCATCAGCGCTTCTCCTCCCCGAAAGGGGTTTTTTGTGGTTGTTGTTGTTTTTGGTGGTGGTGGGTTTTTGGTTTTGTGGTTGGGTTTTTGTTTGTTTCTCTGTGTAGCCCTGGCTGTCCTAGAACTTGCTCTGTAGACCAGACTAGCCTTAAACTCAGAGATTCACCTGCCTCTGCCTCTGCTGGAAATAAAAGTGTGTGCCACCACCGCCCAGCAATAAAGGGGTTTTAAATATGACTTGAAGTGCCTGTCAGACATCTAGGTGGAAGTATTGAATGAGAAGTTGGGTACATGGCCTGGGCGCTTGAACAATGACCTTGCTAAGGTAGTAAAGCCTGGCCATCACCAGCTGTCAGAAGTTTCTCCTTGCCTCTGTGTTCTTCACAACATGACTTAGTTTTAATTTCAAACATAAGCTAAACAATTTTCAGCTGTCCCAAAGGCTCTGTTAAGGGAACAGCAGAAGGCCTGGTGGAACCCAGCCCACGGCCAGCTTCCAGCTGCAGGATGAATGTCCCTTCCAGCTTCCCCTAGAGCAGTGGTCCTCACCCTTCCTGACCCTGCCGCCCTTTAGTACAGCTCCTCACGTTTTGGTGACCCCTGACCATGAAATTAATTTTGCTACTTCATAACTGTAATTTTGCTACTGCTATGGACCGTAATGTACATATCTGTGGGTTTTGATGGTTTTAGGCGAGCCCTATGAAAGGTCATTCCATCCTTAAAGGGGTTATGACCCACAGCATAGAGCATAGCTTTAAGTATTTTAAATTTGCAACCTCCCTTTGGCCAAAAAAATTTTTTTTAACTTTTTATTGGTTCTTTGTGAATTTCAAATCATGTACCCCAATCCCACTCATCTCCCCCACCTCATCCCATCCTCCACCCTTGCAACCTTCACCCCCAACATAGAAAAAGAAACATTGCGGAAGCTGTGGTGTCACAGTGTGTCCACGGCACAACCTTTCGTCCACACATCTTCACTTGCAAATGTTCATCACAGAGAGTCTTCTGCTATGAGGCCTCTGGCTTCTGCTACTCCATCAATCCTGGATCCTCCCTGGGACTCCTCTCAGATATCCTGTTGTTGCCCTGTGTTGGGGAGATCCTGCAGCTTTGGATCTGTGGGACCCGCCCCTTCATGAGCTCCAGCAGTTCATAGACGGGATAGTGTTGGGGTGAGCCAGCTCAAAGCCCCGGATCTGGGCCTGAGAGGTATCTGAGCTGCTCAGCTCACCAGCTCTCCTCTTCTCTTGCCCTTGGGCTGGCTCAGCCACAACCTCACATCCAGAGCTCTATTGTGCTGCCCAGATGAGGTGCAGGGCCTGCTCTCCTGGGTGCTATAGCAGGGGCGTGCCCAATAACATTTTACACAGCCCAGTAAGTATAAGAAAGGTTTACAGGGGCTAGAGTGATGGCTCAGTGGTTAAGAGCACTAGCTGCTCTTCCAGAGAACACAAGTTCAATTCCCAGCACCCACATGGCAGCTCACAACTGTCTGTAACTCCAGTTCCAGGAGATCTGACACTTATAACACAGACACAGATGCGACACAACACCAATGCACATAAAATAAAAATAAATAAAAATAGGTTTACAAATCCAGTATTTAGTAATCAAAAACCATAAATTTCTTTTTAAAGATTCTTTTGCTATACATATAAAGAGAAAATTTGCAAGCTAATGAGATGGATGTGTGTACTTACTTTTACTCAAAGAATTAAAATCTTGACTGAATATTTGATGCTGTAGCACAGAGAATATTTCCAACACTTTTCAGTATTGATTGATGTGTTGATTTTATAATCACCAATCTAAGAACACAGCTTTATACCAATCCATAATACAAAAGGCAGAAGTATGACGAAAACTGTATCCTAGTCCCAAATTAAAATCTATTTAACAATTTTTTTACGAAACTCAAATGAGCAACTCAAACAGCAATTTCTAAAAAATCAAATATTCTAACATAACATAATCCAAAGATGTACTAATTTGATCCTTACATGCTTAGAAATAATGGCAGAAAACCCACAGAGTCCACGGACCTGAGACTGGGCTGACGATCGGGGAGCCTGAATGGGTCTAGCCTATGTCCTCTGCGTGTATGCTATGGTTGTGTAGCTTGGTCGTCTTGTGAGACTTCTGAAAGTGGGAGTAGCGGCCTTCTCTGACTCTTTTCCCTGCTTTTGGGATCCTTTTCCTCCTGCTGGGGTGCCTCTTCCAGCCTTAATATGAGGGGAGGTGCCCTGTCTTACTGCAACTTGATATGCCATTGTTTGTTGGATATCCCGGGGAGACCTGCCCCTTTCTGAAGGGAAACAGAAAAGGAGTGGATCTGAGGGAACGTGGGGAAGAGGAGAGGAGGAAGAGGAAACTGTGGTTGGGCTGTAGTATATGAGAGAAGAAAAAATAAGTAAGACTTTGCTTCCCACAATTAGACGATTATGTTTCCATGAGGGCTGAAAACACTGCGCTTTGCAACACAGTGGAAGCGGATCTGGGCTAAGGTGCGCAGGCAGCGCTCCTTGGCGTTGCTTGGCATGACATAATGCACATGTTGTGTGTTACATGATGCAACACTGGCAAGAGCTGCTGGAAACATCTCAATTCATTTTGATTTTTTAATTAACTGTTGGTCGATGCACATCCAGAAAGCATTAAATTGTATATATTCCCTTACATTCAGCGAGTTGCAACTCACATGTAAAGAGGCTATAGAAGATGTGTCCTAAAGGTTAACAACTGCTTAGAAGTAAGGGAAATGAAGATGAAGCAAGGAGAATGAAAAAAAAAATGTTGGTGCAGTAGGAAGAGAACCAGGAGAGAGTGAGGCCCTCAAATACACATGAAGAGAAGCTTCTCAAGGAGTGAGTGTTGGTACCTGCCTCAGGATGGCCAGCACTCAGGCAGCTGCCTCCAGCGCCACTACAATGGACACATGTATGATGAAGGAAAGATGGAATACACTGCAAAGAGACAGAAGAGCCATGTCTGGGTGTGTGGTCCTGCCCTAGCTGGGGTCTGTGTTGATGTCTGTGGCCCAAGTTACCACCAAAGGCCAAGCAGATGCCCTTGGTCTGTGCTGCCATTGGAGATCATGTGGGTGTCTGAGAGCTGTGCTGCCGTGGGGCACATGCTGGTCTGAGTGGCCTGCGCTGCCATCTGAGGCCACGGCGACATCTGGGCCCAGGCTGGTGCCCAAGGGACATGTCTGGGCCCATGGTCCTAGGGCTGCCAGGGTCTGTGTTGATGTCTCCCAAAGGCCATTCCTGGTCTAGACTGCCGCCTGAAGGCACTGTGCCGAGCTGCCTCTGCCCCTCAACTGAGCAGCACAGTAGAGCAGGTGCAAACTCTGAAGAGCTGGCCCCATGCCTCTTCTGCCATGAGACAGTGCCGGCGAAGGTGAGATGCCCCCTTCCCGTATCCCCCACTGCATGTGGCAGGGGTGAGCCAGCCCCGAGGTCATGAGAGCAGGAGAGCTGTCCCTGCCCCTCACTGTCTACAACACTCATGAGAGTGGGCCCTGCACCTCACCTGGGCATTACAGTAGAGCTGGCCCTGGTGGTAAAGGTGCCAGGTGAGCCTGCCCCGAGGACATGGGAGCAGGGGAGCCCCTGGTGGACTGTGGCATTGGATGAGCTAGCTGGGGCAGCACTGGAGAGCTTTGAGCTGGCCCACCTTAACATCTACCCCATCTGTAAACTGCTGGGGTGCATGAAAAGGCGGGTCCTGCAGATCCAAAGCCACAGGATCTCCATGACACAGGGCAACAACAGGGTATCGGAGGTGAGTCCCTCAGAGGATCCAGCACAGATAGTGTAGCAGAAGCCAGAGGCTTCAAAACAGACCAATGACTACTTGTGATGAACATTTGCAAGTACAGATGTGTGGACAGAAAGGTTACTGTGTGACAACAGCAGCTTCCATGGCAAAAAAAAATTTTTTTTCTCTTATTTTGTTTTATTTTGTAGAGGAGGTAGTAAGGGCAGAGGGAGGATATGAAGGAATGGGGAGATGAATGGGGTCGAGGTGCATGATGTGAAATTCACAGAGAGTCAATAAAAAGGTGTGTGTGCGTGTGTGTGTGTGTGTGCGTGTGTGTGTGTGCGTGTTTGTGTGTGTGTGTGTGTGTGTGTGTGTGTGTGTGTGTGTTAAGCTGGAGAGATGGCTCAATGGTTAGGAGTGCATCCTGCTCTTGCAGAGGACAGAAAGTCAGTTTCCAGAACCACATCAGGTGGCTCGCAATCACCTGGAACGCCCGCTTCAGGGGATATGGTGCCTCCAGTCTCTGAGGCACCTGTACCCATAAATACTCAGACCCACATAATTAAAAATAAAAATAAATCTTAAAAAAGAGAGAGAAGGGGCTGGAGAGATGGCTCAGAGGTTAGGTTAAAAGCACTGGCTGCTCTTCCAGAGGTCCTGAGTTCAATTCCCAGCAACCACATGGTGGCTCACAACCATCTATAATAAGATCTGGTGCCCTCTTCTGGCATGTAGGCAGAACACTGTATACATAATAAATGACTCTTAAAAAAAAAAAAAGTGTCCAGTGTGGTGGCAAACACCTTTAATTTCAGCACTAGAAAGGCAGAGACAGATGGATCTTCATGAGTTCAAGGCCAGCCTGGCCTAAAAAGCAAGTCCTAGCCAAAGTTACATAGTGAGACACTGTCTCAAAAAGAAAAAGAAGTGAATGTCCAACAAATTAAATGTTGCCAAAGAATGGATGCTGAGGACTGGTATTTGAGCCATAGACGTGACAGTGACTCACTCAGAACCTGGACAAGAGCTGTGGTGTTGCAGTACAGACAGGGAATCCCCCCACCCCCACACACTTATTTTCCATGGGCCTTCACGTAGTTTCTAAATGTTTCACGGTGTTTTTTGTTGTTTGGAGATGGTATCTTACCTGAGCTGGCTTAGAATTCACTATGTAGCAGAGGCTAACCTTCAGTTTATGACCCTCCCATCTCCACCTCCCAAGCTCTGGGATAACCGGCATGTACCACCACAGCAGGCCCACAATGCACATTTTAATATGAGAACCACACGGTTTATCCAGCTATGGTGGCACATGCTCTTAAGCTCTGTACCCCGGAGGCAGAGGCGGCGATCTTTACAAGTCTGAGGCCAGCCAGGGCTACATAGTGAAACCCTGTCTCAAAATGAAACAAGCAAGAAACAAAACAAAAACATAAGCACACAGCTTTGCCAGATATTTTTTTTTAAATCTGTGTATTAAAATAATCTTACTCTTTTGAAAATTTTCGCTTTGGGGATGCTGTTCTTTTAGTGGCCGAGAATATGTACAACGCCAGTATCCTTAAAGCCAGAGCTCATCTACACTTTCCTAGCTCTTCCCTCAGGACCCATCCCCGAGAGGTCCAGTCGCTGCTTTCTGAGGAGATGCCACCCTCTCTTCCAGGAAGACTACGTTTTGCGCAGTACAATGGTTACAGATTCTCTTGGCCTCGCGGAAATTCTTACTCGTTCCCCCGTCATCTCGAGGAAGACGTGTGTCTTCAGGTACGGAGGACACGGAGGACACGGGGCGCCTCTGCCTGCCGCGGTCCTGGATCTGAGACCCAGCCCCTGCCTCTCTCGGCACGCCTGCCGTGCCTGGTTCCAGCCGCTCCTTCATCTTTTATAAACTTACCAAACATCGCTTACCCCGTTGGCAGTTCTATGCACAGGAATCTGTGCGTCCTTCTCACCGCCAGCACGAACAGGCCAGGGAGCCCTTGCTTCTGTTTGTTGCTGTTTGCTTCCTTTTTAAAGCTCTCGCTGAGGCAGCTGTGTAGGCCCTGCCCAGGTGCCCACCGCGCCCCTGGCCATACTTCCTGCAGGGGGACTTCCTCTAGGGAAGTGAGCTCAGGTGGTTAGAGCCCCTTAGCACTTTCCTGACGCCCCAACCGCCCGCCCGTGACAGCCCCGCACCAGGACGCACACACGCGTGCTTGCCTCCCAATAAGACTTACTTTTGGTACAATTGCTATCCTAGGTCACCTTGGGACCACACCGGGCAGACTGGGCCTGTCAGCTCCTTCCTGTCTGCCTGCTCCTGCTTCCTCACGGCTTTCTCCCGTGGCCATTTTTTCCGGTGGCATCAGCATCTTTGTCTCAGGCTCTGCCTTTAGGGAACCTTCTGGCATTCATCTGACACGTTTTAGACTATCGGCACTTTTTCATTAAAAAAAAAACAAAACAAACAACAAACAATCACCTTCGGATAAGTGTAACTACCCCATGTTAGACTCTGAGGCAGAGCCTCGTGAGGCAGAACAACCCCAGGCTGCTACCTTACTGAGCTTGTCAGGGGAGGCTCTCCACCAAAGAGATGTGCGCGCAGAGATGCCGCAAGCCGAGTTGAGCCAAGGGCAGAACGAAGATGGTGGGTGTGACCTTCAGGCAGATGAAAGGACAATGGCGGCCACAGCAGGGTGGGGTGGGCCGAGGGAATAATTCGGTCTGTCTGAGTGGAGTGCTGTGAGCAGGCTGGCAGGCGTGTAAGAGAGCTGCGCTCATCTGCTTTGGTTTCAGGGACTTCCTCTTTAAATGCATAGACACCTCAGACGTTGTTTTGGCTTCTGCCGGGGGAGAGACCCACATTGTAATTCCAATTCGCCAGAGAACAGGAGAGGCTATGGGAGTCCTTGACGTTAACATCGGCCGGAGCAGGATGTTGGTGTTTCAAGAATACAAAGATCTACAGAAAATGATGAAGATGATCCAAAATGTCGCCGATGAACTACTGGGCGAATTGTCTGGAGAAATCAAGAAAAATGAGGTCATAGGTACTGTGGATGCAGTAACAGTCTGGATTCATGGTTTGCTCAAAGGAACTCACAGACACGGTGCACTTTCCAGAGTTAACCAGTTCACTATGTAGATCTTTCCAGGGGAAAAGAAATCCCTTCTGCAGTTTTAGTCTGGTGGGTATGTATGATCTACAGCCTAGCGGAGGGCAAGGGACCGCAGTGACAGATCAGTTGGGGCCTCACAGTCAGAGGTAAGATGGCCCATATTTCTGTGGAGAAACATGCTAACGAGGCAGTTTCGCCGCCTTCGCTATAACCTTCCAAGGCCAACAGCAATAGCCCGGTTCACAGGTGAGGAAAGTGAGATTCAGTAAAAATAAGCAGCGTGTGGTAAAAGCTGCACCTGAATTTGATCTTTGCTGTTTCTCCCACAGTTTTATACAGCATCACATACTTTGAACATATCGTTTTACAGATGAAAGAGCTACAACTTACATAGCTGAAATTAATTTTTCCAAGATTCAATAACAAGCCACTGGCTGGGCCAGGATCCGCCCCTGGCTCTTGTGACCCCATGTAGCCTAGGCCACCCTTAGCACAGTATCATCTAAGAGGGTGGCTGAGAAGTCAACAAAAACCTTCCGCTAGAATCAAACAGAGTTAGTCTAACACTGTGTGGGTTAGGGGAAAGCTTCACAGCTGTTAGGAAGAAAGAAGGGCAGGCGTAGCGACGTGAGCCTGTTATCCCAGCTGCTTCAGAGTCTAACGCAGGAGGATCACCTAAGATGAGAAAGAGGAATGGAGAGAAGGGGGAAGAAAGACAGCGCATGTCCTTTGAGTGTTTGCTGTGTGCCGACCTTGAGACTAAGCACCTTGTATTTGCAGCTCTGGGGACTAACCCTGAGATCTGCACCTGAGACAGGTGCTCTACCACTAAGTTATGTCCCTAGCCCTACTTCACTTTTTATTTTTAGGCAGGGTCTCACTACATGGTCCAAGCTGGCCTTGAACTTCTTATAAAGTTCATGGAAGAGCTTGAACTCATAATCTCCCTGCCTCAGCCTTCCACATAGCTGGGATTAGGGCCTGTGTTACCAGGCCCAAGAAGACTAAAGACTTCATTCATCTAATTTCCATCTCTCACCAAAGAAGTAGGGATTGGCCCTATTCCCACAAAGGAGTATATATGTATGTATATAGAGAGATACATTCATATATGTGTGAATACATATTATATATATTCATGTAAATGTATATATATTGTGTCTATATGCACACACACACACACATATATATTCAAAGGACAATATAATTAGTAATGGAGAAAGCCTTCAACCTAAGCCCTAAGTATAAAATTCAGATTTGGGTTTGTTTGTTTGATTGTTTTCCAATTTTTATCCCTAAATCATACATCAGATCTCATTCTATTTTGCTTTTTTATTTCATGATTAGAGAAACCAAAATGGCTTAAAATCATGGTTTTCTTTTGTAACACGCTGAGAAGGCTGTGAAGGGGTGGCATGTGTAATTAGAATGTGTGTACCCGCAGAGATGGAAAGGTCAGGAGAGGTCAGGCGGGCTGGAGTCCTCTTCTTCCGCGCCATGCTGCAGGAGCTCCGAGAATGCCTAGACACCCTCACGCCCATGGACTTCGTGTCGCTGCTGATCTACGAGCACAAGCCTCCCCTGGACTCACAAGGCATGGATCCCCAGGAGCTAGAAGCCAACGTGGCCCTCGTGCACGACTTCCTGAAAGGGGTCATCTTGTTCTCCCAGCAGGACATAGGCCCTCTCAGAGACTTGGAGGAGTGGCAAAAGTGGAAGTTTGTGAGTCTTTGGCTGTTTCTTCCTGCACAGATTGTACATTCACAACCCACCCCTGTGCTCACAGGCGGCTCAAAAGCCCACCTTTCGAATCCTTCCTCACAACCCATCTCTCCGAACCGCATACCCCGAAGCTAACCGTGACCTCTGCCTCTGACGGGAGGGGATTCCGCCTATTGAGGATTTACCCCTGGGGGATGGCGTAGCTGTGGGGTGGGGGCCCTGGGAAACCGGGTGACCACATACCCTTTCTCCTCTTCTTTGCAGTACATTAACAAGAACTTAGTTAAGGATCTTTGCGTGTTTGATCCGACTGCTAGCAATGTAAGGGTTAATGTGCAGCTTGTTTCGAGATACATCCAAGGTAAGCCTCCACCTAAATATATACTAACGGCAAAAATCTGTGAGAGGTCTCCGTTAGAGTAAGACAAACGGTTCTTAAACTGAGTTTGCATGAAGGTGAACATTTCCATGTGTTTTCTAAAAGAAAGGATACAGTCTAGGCTTTGCGCTCTCTCCTAAGGTGCCTGGGCAATACTTGAGAATTGGAAAGCGTGCCAGCGCCACTCGCTGTCTGCATGCACGAGACTCAGCTTGTCAGCAGCTCTCACTACCGAGGAGGCTGAGTCAGGAGGGTCACTTCAGTCCAGAAGTTCAGGCCCAGCCAGGGCGACATCGTAAGACCTTCAGCTCATCTCAACACAAGCAAATGGGAGCTGCAGTGAGAGCCGGAACACTGAGCAAAACATCTGCTATTTTTAGCTACACTAAAGAACAAAAACTAATTAGTGTATACGAGATGGCAAGGCGAGCCTTTCCAGGAGAGCCAGCAGGGCTGCACAGGCGGGCAGGCTCTCCCTGCGCTGGCCTGGGTTCCTCTACCAGCCTCCCCGGGCCCTCTTGGCAACGTAGGAAAGACTAACCGCTGACTGTATGTGACCGGCAGTGGCAGGAGGACCAAGGCCGGTCTGGTCTATGGCGCGCCAGTCAATGCTGCACCTGAGACTCCAAAACACACAAAAACTGCCCCGTCCTCCTCCCCCGAATCTAACCAGAGAACCAAAGGAAAGGACCAGCAACTAGAGGTGGAGGGTAGGGTGGGGAGACTGACCTGGAGCTAGGCATCCTGGGGACAGATACAGACCTCTCGGGACCCCCTGAATCAGGTCCTCTCCTTCCCCTCTCCTACTCAGTCTGGAGACTCCACCGTGTCACAGACTTTCTGGGCGACTGTGGGAACCTCTGGGTTCGCGGGCACCGCAGTCCTGACTTCTGCAAGGACCTGGGCCTGGAAGGTCCACACCCTGCAGGTGCGAGGCCGTAATAGGCCCATCCCCCGCCCAGGGAGAGGCAAAAGGCTCCTCCCGCCGCAGGGCACCGACGCCTCAAAGGAATCTCTTCAGGCCCTGCTTCAGTCCGCCTGCCAGAGCCAGCGGCTGTCGCGCGCCCTGCTCGGAGCACGCGCAGATCTGCACCGTAGGCCACAGCAGCCCCGACCGCGGAAAACGCAGCCCACGGCGTTCGGCTTTCCAATGGTGCCCTCAAGCGGCGGAAGTCAGAACTGCAGGCAACAGAAAGGGGCTCCCGCCCCAAGCCAACGACCCGCAGGCTCCCCTCTCACCGCCACTGCCCTAGCCCTAACAGTCTGTGCAGCCATCAACGAAGCTCCTAGGTCACCGGGTATGGATCCTCTCACTTGGGTGAAGTTAAGTCAAGACGATGTAAGCTTCGTCCCAGGGGCAGAGCAGGGGGCCTAGAGCGTGGCTGATGGTCACACCCCGTCCGAGAGTATTCCCTCTCTCTATCGCTCGGTGTCCGCCTCCCCTTCTCAGCGCCGGGGTTTTGTCTGTCTCGAACCTGTGCAGGCCTGTGTGCTGTCAGAGTCTCTGTGAGTTCACGTCTGTGTCCGCCCTCTTGTGCCTGGAAGACGCTGTTTCCTTGGATTGTCCACCACCTCTGGCTCGTCCAGCCTTCCTACCTCCGCTTCCTCCTGGACCTTTAAGCCTCAGAGGAAAGCGTCTGGTGAAGATGCCTCATTAGGGCCGAGTGTTCCAGACTCTCTCGCCCGCGGTGCGCTGCACTATCCTAATCGTTTGTCTTCCTCCTGTCTTCTTTCTTTTTCCTTCCGTGCTGGGTCTAGGACCAAGCCTGGCGCTTGGCTGGGCCAGCACTCCACCACCTCCCCCAGCAGCAGTTTTCTGAGCAAGAATGCTCGAGTCGTACACTTCCCAGGTGTTTGTGTCTGAAAACGTTTGCATTTGCCCCTCGCATTGATTTGGACTTTGCTGGGGAAAATGATTTTGAACCACTCAGGGGGGTTTTGTTTTGTTTGTTTTGGGGTTTTTGTTTTTTGTTTTGTTTTCTCAGTCTACATTAAAAGGTCACCAGACTGGAGGAGACTCTTTAATTTGAAACACTCTCCTCCTCCTCCTCCTCCTCCTCCTCCTCCTCCTCTTGTAACACCAGCCAAGGTCATCCTTGGTTACATAAGTTCAAGCCAGCCTGGAGTACGTGAAATCCCATCTCAGAGAGAGCAGAGGGGGAGAACAAGAGAAAGAAAGAAAGAGAGAAAGAAACATGAATCGTACCTCACTCACTTCTGCATTCTGAAACGCACAGTTGGGTGGTTTGGGTGATGCATCAAGTTGTGCAATCATCACCACTATCTAGTTTTATAACATCTTCAAAAATGAGCTCTGGCCCCATTGGCACTCCCTCGCTCTTCTCTCACTCTCCTCCCTAGCAACCGCTGGTCTGCTTTCTGTCTGTTGCAGACTTGTCTGTTGTCTTGCCTGTTGCCCCTCCAGACTTTTGATATAAATGGGATTATACAATGGGTTGCCTTTTGTGTCTGGTTTGTTTCACTCATCATAGTGTTTTCAGGGTTCACTTACTCTTTAGTGTATATTAATTGTTCATTGTTTTCTTATGGCTTAATTATCTATATAGGGATATGCTATATTTCATTTCTCTACTTATTGGCTCATGAGCCTCTGGTATTTTTGGTTTTGGCTCTTGGGATTGTGTTGCCAGGAACATTTTCTTACAGTTTGTTTATGGACGTGCATATTCTGTTCTCCTGGGCGCAGACCTTAGGAGTCTCTATGGCCTTTTAACTTCCAAGGTTGCTATTGAGATGTTGGATGCCCTTTTTTTGTTTCTGGTTTTACAAATGCTACCTTTGCTTTGCTTCTCCTCAGAAGCTATAGAAGCATCCCTCTGTCCCCAGAGTTGTGAAATTTCATAATGATGAGCCTTGACGTGGCTATTTTCACCCACTGGTCTGGGTACTTGCAGGGCCTTGTCAGTTGTGAAACACAGGTCCTCACCTCCTGGGCACCTCCTTAGCATCAAGGCTGCCACTAGAGCCTGCAAGCTGTGCGCTGCACAAAGCTGCCCTGCTGAGGAGAACGGCAGCTAATAACCTAACCTGAATTTCACTCACTTTGTGCCCTAGCGTGAAGCTGTCTGCTTGGAAGGGGGCCTCCTTTTCTTCACATACCTCTTCTCCGCTCAGCCAGAGCAGAGTACATTTATCCAGGACAGGGGACCTGGAGGCTGATGTAACCCTCTCCTCCCTTCCCTTTGTTCCTCCTTTGTAACACATTATTCAGACGCTGCTTCTCCTAGACTCAATCTTCAAACTCCTATTTTTACTGGCTACAGTGTAGCTCAGTAGTAGATCTCTTACCTGGCTTGCTTTTCTCCTGTTACTATTCATTCCTCTCTGTTCACTTCTAAAACCTCATTGCTTCATCCTTTGCTCATCCACTTCAAAAGGCATTGACCACGTGCCTGGCTCCGATTTAGGACCTTGGGGGAACAATAGCCAATAAAGCTGATTAAGATCCCTGCTCTCATGAAGCTTACATGTCCATGACAGCTCATGCCTGCTATCAGGAGAATCCTCACCACCTGAGCCAGAGTGAGACCTCATCTAAGACAAACAAAACCCCACGAACCTTAGAGTCCAGAGGAAAGCAGAGAATACACAGCACAGGGCTGGGATACAGCTCAGTGGCAGAGCCCTTTGCCTAGTGTGCACAAAGCCCTAGATTGAGTTCTCATTCACACACACACACACACACACACACACAGCAGTAAACATATATGTAAACAGATATATGCCATGATTCTGACATGCATGCTGAAGTAAGTGCACAGGTCAGACAGCTGAGTGCAGTGGTGGGAGCGGGGAAGAAGCCAGGATGGAGTTTTGTTTTCTCTTCGGCAGCACTGTGCACCCGGCCTCAGGTCTTGTGTGGAGGAGTGCAGATATAAATAGACCTTGTCAGGAGGTGAGACTTAAGCTGTATAGATACCTCTGTGGAGAGTACTCCAGGCAGAGCAAAGAGCCAATGCAGAGGTCTTATAAGGCAGGAACACGCAGTGTGCTGACACAGCCAGGAGGACACCGTGTCAGGAACAGAGTGAGAAAATTAGAGATACATGGAAGATCAGGCCATGGGTGATGGGGTGAGGGCGTGAGCTGAATCAACCTGGCATCCGTCCGGGCCTCATACCATCATAACATAACATGAGAAAAAAATTTAAGCAGAATTTCATGGCATGGCTTACGCTTTAAAAGAATCACTCTGATGGTCAGGATAGTGGCTCACACTCCTCACTCGAAAAGGCTAAGACCAAAAGGGTCGTGAGTTCAAAAGTCCACCCTAATTACATGGCAAGACCCCATCTAAAAAATAAAATAAGGGAATAAAAGGTCATGGTGGCATCCACTGTTAATTCCAGCACTTGGGAGGCAGATCTCTGTGAGTTCAAGGCTAGCCTGGTCTATGTAATGAGTTCCAGTACCTGGGACTACATAGTTCGAAGAAAAGGGGGGAATAAAAGGCTCATTCTGCTTCTCATGAAAGGCTTTGTAGTGGGGTGGGGGTAGGGGGGTACTCAGAGACCAGCCAGAGGAGCTGCTGCAGGAATTCAAGTGGGAGTGCCAACAGAGAAGGTGAAAAGTGGTCATAGTCTGTATAGTACAGATTTTGAGTAGAACCAAAATGTAACTCCACAGCTTGGGTGTGAAACATGAACAGAGCAAGAGCCCAGGTTGACTCTGCGGTCTGGAAGAATGGAGGAGTGGAACTGGGGACCTCTGTAGGGCGGGGCTCTGCCAGGGGAAGATGAAGAGTTCAAACCTGGGGGCTAGGAAGATGGCTCAGCTGCTCCTGCTTGCTCTTGCAGAGGGCTGGAGTTCAGTTGTTCAGCAGCCACCTCTGGTGGCTCACAACCACCCGTAACTCCAGTTCCAAGGGATCCAATGCTCTCTTCTGCCCTCCGTGGGCACGCACATGCGTACACACACACAGAAGCACATGCATACATATATGCACAAACACATACACAAGGATAAGATAAATTTTATTTAATATTTATTCATTCATTTATTTATATTTTGGGATTTTCAAGACAGTGTTTCTCTGTGTAGTCCTGGCTCTCTTGGAACTTAACTGTGTAGACCAGGCTGGCCTTGCACTCACAGAGATCCACCTGCCTCTGCCTCCACAGTGATGGGATTGAAGGCATGTGCCACTGTGCCAACTGATAATTTTTTTTAAAGAGTTCACACTTTGGCAAGCTGAGGCTAAGGTGTCTGTTTACTGTCTGAGCAGAGGTATGCACGCGTTGCTAGGAAAAGAAATCAGGGATTTTGGAGAAAGCTCCAGGTGGGGATATAAAGTTGAGATCTGTTGGCTGGGAGATGACTCCCAAAGGGAGAAGAGGAGGGAAGACAGTTCTGTGCCCACCTTATCACGAAGGGCGCACAGCAGCAGGGGTGATAGGGAGCTCGCTTCACTAAACCACGCGTTTCTGTAGAGAGCAATTACACTGAGCAGAGTTTGCACACTTGACGTATGACCATCTCGTGAAAAGTCCAGAGCGTGTGCTACCGGACAGGCGTTGTGCTCACAGTGGGAGGGGAGCTGTGTGCCTGCCAGAACTCTGCATTCATCATGGAGCAAGCTTCCCCTCAGCTGCAACAACTCAAAACCTGAGGTTTCTTCCCTGGTCAACACCCACCCTTTCCTGAAGGGCCCGGGAGTTACGTGACAGGGCCTTTGGGATGACATCCAGTCAAGAGTGACACCCTAAGCCAACCGTCCCGGCGAAGTTCCCTGCCCGTGTGACACAGCAGCTGAATTCCCGAGCACGCCGCCCAGGTGCACGCTGCCCTGCTGGTCGTCTTCTTGTGTCCAGCAGTAATGCTAGAGGACCAAAGCGTAAGATGACTCGGGGAGCGTGAAGCCATAGAAAGAGAGAAGGAGAGCTAAAGAAACTGACGGGCAGGAAAATCGCTCAGGAGACACCGCTGCCCTTGAGTTAGTCGGCAGCTGAAGGAAGCAGTCCAGCTTTTGAACTCGAAGTTAAATACTTCATTCTCTTTGCTTTGCCTGTTTTTTTTTTTTTTTTATTAATTGTCTATGCTTCCCGCAGGATTTAGCTTAATTAATCCAGTGTTAAAGCAGAGATCCACAAATTGAGGTTTAATTTTAAAATATGCTTTTTATAGTTCAATATTTCCAGCGCAATGAATTCCCCGTGTAATTAAAAGTCTGATTAAAGTAAAAGCTTTCTGAATACATCCCTGAACATTATTCAGTGGCTCCTCTGAATCCTTACAGCTTAAATGTGTCTTTAATAATTGCCGTAAATATTGCCAAAGCAAGTCAAAATGGTCGTAATTTCACAGAGTCACAGCAGAAATAGAAGACTGGGACTCGCTCCACGGGGGGTGTGGGCTGTCTGCCAACCGGGCGATGCGTGCCCTGTCTACCACACGAGGGCAGTGCGGCCAGCGGTACTGTGGCCCACCGCGGGCTGCAGACAGGCCTCCTGAGCGGCCTCCTGAGCGGCCCCTGCGAATCCCTGGAAAGGCAAAGGGAAGCTGGAGCTGCCCCTTGGACAGCTTTTGTCCCCGGTAACAGTAAAACAGGAAATAAGGAACAGGGGCTTGGGGAAGAGAACGACCTCTCCCTCCATCCTCCCGCCCCTGGATCACCAAGAAGATGGTTCAATCGTGGTCCCGCCGAGATCACCGACAGTCACTGATGGAACCGAGCTGTTTTATCTCAGAAAATTAGTTGGGACAGGTACTAAGTGTCCTGGGCTGAACTTTGCTTTTATTTAATTTAGGATCATAACGCTGGGACATTAAGATAATGAGCGTAATCTTTGGAAATCTGTAATATTTCTTTGTAAAGTTTCCAGGAAGCTAATTAGCACAAAGAGGGATCAATGATGGCAAATGCGCCCTCGGTGATTTAAGTAGGTATTTTTATTGGTCTAGAATTACCCATGAAGTGAGATGAATCAGATATTTCTAATGTGTTCCCATGACTAGCATCTGTTCTTGTTTTTATTCATAATTGTCACTAATATTATTGAGCTATAATATGGAAAAACTTTTAGGACTTGAAATAAAGAAATTAAATTATCCCTTAATTTAATGTTGTCTCAATTCAACATTTATTGAACACTTACAATTGAATGAGAAAAAACAGTGCTTCTCTCTTTCTCTTCCTCTGTGTGTGTGTGTGTGTGTGTATATATATATATATAAAAAAAGAGAATGTTAGAAAATTAATTGCATCCACATGTTTTAAAGTCAGCTTCAAGTAAAAATGAAGATATATGAAAGGCATGGAACTTCCCTGTTCTATCCTGCACCTTAGCTTGTAGAGGTGCTTTCAAAACCACCATGAAGCCGAGCCCAATTCAGGGAAGCGTACTCCTTGTATTCAGGAGACAAGGAAATAAAACTTGTTCTGGGTCTGTGTGGTGGCTCTGTGAGTAAAGGTTCCTGTTGCCAAGCCTGAAACCTACACTTGGTCTCCAGGCCACATGCTGGAAAGAGAGTACTCCTGCAAGTTTGTCCTCCGGTCTGCACACACATGCTACGGCACATACGTGTATACACGCACGCGAGAGCGCGCACACACGCACACACACACACACACACAGACATCAGCAAAAAAAGTTTTCTCATTTGCCCTCATAATATTCATAAAGTATTATTCTAATTTTTACAAAAATATGGACAGGCTCAGAGCAAGTAAACGATCTGTTTAAGGTCACAAAATTAGTTGGGATAGAGCCAAAATTAGAACTCAGACCTGCTCAGCTCTAAGGTACTCTGTCCATTGGACCATTTTACTTAGATGTTAGTCATTGGCTCCTGGGGATCTTCAGGAATAGCAGCTAACAGTTTTCCACAGTGCACAGTAACTATATATCTTGAAACAATTTTAATTAAAGAATATTTTAAATACAGTAGTAAAAGCAAAAAGCACTGTGTATTCATCGTAAAATAATATCTTATGCCAACCTTAGCATTCTTTGTTTGAGTCGGGTTCGTTTTACTTTGTTTTCGAGTGCCAGGAAGTGGTCCAGGGCTTCGTACGTGCTAGGCAGGCGCTCTACCACCTTAGCTACACCCTCAACCCTTTTTAAATTTTGGTTTAAAATAGGGTCTCACCGAGTTACCCAGGCTGGATGAAAACCAGCATAGTTCGCGCAGCCCACACTAACCTCAAACTAGAGCCTTCCTGACCGAGCCTGCCAAAAAGCTGGGTTACAGGGATCACCGTGCCCATCTGGGTCTTGTGTTTTTGAAGACATAAACTCTAATGGGAATAGGCAAACCCTTCTGCCTCTTCTGATCTCATTCTCTTTTCTCAGAACGTGATTGTGATGTTGGTACTTACCAGTTTCATGCCTGATCTATTTCTTTTACTATATCTTTTTGTTTGTTTGCCTTTCTGTCTTGTTTTTTTGTTTTTTTTTTTCCAGACAGGGTTTCTCTGTGTAGCCCTGGCTGTCTTGAAACTCACTCTGTGAGTTTCCAGGCTGAATTCCAGGCTGGCCTGGAATTCACAGAGACCCACCTGCCTCTGACCCCCAAGTGCTGGGATTAAAAGTGTGCACCACCTGACTTCCTTTTATTAAACATGAATTTATAAATTTTACAGTTCTTTAAACTTTCAAGAGTTATACCCAAATACATATAAGATTCTATACATTATATGTGCGTATGTATATATATATATGTGTGTGTATATAGAATTATTTCCAGTGTTAACTGCTATGTATTAATTTATTACATGAAAATATAAAATTTCATCTACCTTTTATAATTAAGATACTGCTATGACTTTGATTCACAATATATCTAATGGATTTTAATCATATTTTAATTTACTCTTAAAAATTAAAGTACAATCATATCTATACTAACTTTTCCTTTTCTTGACGCAGATCATTCTCGAACCGAAGTATGGAAATTTGGCAATCTTGTCATCGAGCTCCTGTACCACTGGATAAACATTTGTTTAATTCTCATAGAGCTAAAAAATAAAAAAGATGGTTCTATTATACCCCCACTGCCCAGGAAAAGTGAGACCTCTATTTCTCAAAAAATCTCAAAGAAGTCCTTGTCCACTGAAAGCTAAGGACTGGTGTTGTATTTAGGACTTGTTGCTCGTGTCCAGTGCTGTTGAATTCGTGAAACCTATTCTGGAAAGGAAGGTCCCATAGACACACTCTGCTCCCAGAGTGCTAAGCTCCCACTTAGCTCTCTCACACCAAACGTTCGAAGGGGAAATTTTATCTAAAGACTGCATCTATGGTGGCCATAACCAAACGTACTTGAATATGTAATAGAATGTATTCAAATTTTTCCTTTTAGTTTAAGCTTTCTATATGACCTGAGACTACTCCGGCTGTTTGGGAAGTTGCTCTTCATTGTTTTAAAGAGCAAAATAAAGAATACTGAGGATGTGGGGGGAGAAGTGGCAGCTTTTGCATCTAAAGAGTATCAAACAATAAAGATTTTAAAGAAGTGGACTTGTAACTTGTTTTAGAATTTTTCAAAGACTATCCTAACAGTCCTTCTCCACACCCCTTTGTGTCTCCTTTCCTGAACAATTTTAAAGTCACTTTTATATCACTGTTTGTTTGTTTGTTGAGACAGAGTCTCTATATATTTCTGAGGCTAGCCTGGAACTGGATACATAGGCGAGGCTGGCTTTGAACTCCTGATCCTCGTCCCTCAGCATCCTGAGTGCCCTGAGTATAGGCATGTACCCTACCACAGGTGCACTTTAGTGAACAGAAGTTTTTGTGGAAAATGTTTGTCCATGACTCACGGAATAAAGAAAACATCAGTTTGGGTTTTTTGTTTGTTTGTTTGTTTTGTTTTGTTTTTTCAAGACAGGGTTTCTCTGTGTAGCCCTAGCTGTCCTGGAACTTATCCTGTAGACCAGGCTGGCCTTGAACTCAGAGATCTGCCTGCCTCTGTCTCCCCAGCCCTGGGATGAAAGGCGTGCACCACCACTACCACCTGGCTGAAAGCACCAGTTTTTAATAACAAAAACTTCTCAAGTTCTACAGCCACAAAAGAATGTATATTTGTTCAAACCTTATTATTACAGCAAACTTCGGTGCCATGCGATGAGATTTTTGTCTTTTAAGACGATATCTGATGACAAAGTCCATTTTTAATAAAAGTTGGGAAATTAAACTTTATTTTCTTTATTAGGGTGGCAGATTGTGATGTGTCTGCATCTGCAGTATCTCATAAGTGAAGAGTGGTGGGCGGCCCTGTCCCCTTTCCTGATGAGACGGCAGTGTTATTGCCAGCTACCGTGATGCTGATGAGCTCCTGACCAGTGTTATCACTCGTGGCCACTTTGCACTTTGAGGAAGGTTTTCAGGAATTTGCAGCAACGTTGATAGCAGCAGTGTTCTTGAAAATATTAAACTGATAGTGGACTATCTGGATGGCTTCAGAACAAGCTTTTGAACACAAATGATGGTGCAGGCAGCTGGGGAGAGGAGAGGCAGAGATGCTGTTTACATTGTGGTTATGGGAGTTATAGATATCTTGTATTTTCATGACTTTTCTTCTTTTTATATTTGATTTATTTTTATTTTATGTGTATGAGTGGTTGCCTGACCGCAGGTTTGGGCATTACGTGCATGTAGTGCCCAAGAAAGCCAGAAGAGGGCGCTTTATCCCCCTGGGCCTCTCACAGCCAAACGTGAGAGGCTTTGTAGGTGCAAGGAACTGAACTTTTTCTCTGGATGAGCAGCCAGTGTTCCCATTCTGCTGAGCTGTCTCTCCAGCTCCCACAGTTTATTTTATCGTTTCAAGTAATAGTCTGAGACAGGTCTCTCTCGTAAGCCTGGCTGGCCCGAAACTTGCTATGTAGAACATGCCGGCCTCAAACTCACAGAGACCGACCTGCCTCTGCCTCCACAGCGCTGGGATCAAAGGCGTGCGCCACCACGCCCCAGCATTCTTATTTTTGAGATGGGGTTTCGTGTAGCTCAGGTTGGCCCAGAACCCTTAAGGTAGCTGGAGATGACATTGAATTCCTGAATCTTCTGCCTCTACTTCCTGAATGCTGAGGTTACAGGCACAGATCCATGACCTAGACTGGGGTGCTGGAGATTGCGCCCAGAGTTCTGTGCATGCTAGGTGAGCGCTCTACCAGCTAAGATACATTCCCGAAACCTTCGTGGCACTTAATGTGTTTGGAGCATGTTTGAATTCTACCTTACTCAATTATTGCCAATAAAGCAGGTGATTCTCTTTGTGTTTGTGTTTGTTTGTTTGTTTGTTTGTTTTAGGACAGGGTTTCTCTGTGTAGCCTTGGCTGTCCTGGACTCACTCTGTAGACCCTGCTGGTCTCAAACTCACAGCGATCCTCCTGCCTCTGCCTCCCTGAGTGCTGGGATCACAGGTGTGTGCCACGGTCCCAGAGTGGGTAAGTGATTCTGATACCATCAGCAATTTAAGCCTGAGGAAACAAGCTCAAAGAATGAGTGAGCGGTCAGCTTGCAGGGCGGGCAGTTCACTAATGAAACCCCAGAAAGGAAGCACCTTGCTGGTCTCCTAAAGGTACAAAAACAGCACGTTCATGCCGTAAGGGGGAAACCACGTTAATGGGAATGCTTGTGCGTCTCTGTGTGCATAAGCTCACTATGGGAGAGGGTTGGGAGGTGGAGGGGTGCCACAGAGGCCAGAAGAGGGCATCACATCCCCCGGAGCTGGAGTTAAAGGCCGCTTTGAGAGCTGGGAACGGAACTTCTGTCTGTCTGGGAAACCGCAGAGAGACTGGCTGAAATGCCGTCACAGTACTCACTCGGCCACAATAAACACCGTATGAACAGAAAGCGGTTAAACTAAAGGAGAAATAAAAAAAGGAATATTGCTGCATTTTGTGCTAAGGGCAAAAGTGACACAGGAGAGAAGAGTCCTGACAGGCCGACAGGCTTGCCGAGGAAGCAGGAGCTGGACAGCTGGCTCAGAGGGCGCGAGCTCTTGTTCCCAGCACCCGCATCCCAGGTAGCTCAGAACCATCTGTGACTCCAGGTCCAGCTTCCTGCTCTGGCGTCCGCAGGCAGCGGACAATCACGTGCACACACACAGACGTGCCTGCAGGCAAAACTCTCCTGCACATAGTATCTTTGAAAAGCATTTAAAAAAGGAATGAAGAGGAAGGAAAAATGGCAGCAGTGTGTGTGTGTGTGTGTGTGTGTGTGTGTGTGTGTGTGTGTGTGTG